TCTTGTCTGGGGACAGCAGTGTTGGCCCCACCTGATCTTGAGACGGAGGCAGATGGCATCTGTAGTCAGTGGGGTAGCCCAGAGCTAGTGGCAGAGCTCAGTCACAGATGGAGCTGGGCGTCTGAGTAAGTGGGGGGCCTGGGGCATCCCTACCAAATTCTAGTGGGTATGGGCACTGATCTCCTAAGAAGGGGTTGAAAGGGCTCTTGGGACCCCAGCTCTGGGAGGGGCTGAGTGTACAAGGACCTGAGAGGAATCGGCCTGCCCTCAGGCTGCCAATGATAGAGACATCTAGTGGACAGAATCGAATCCTTCTCTCCCTCCCTCTCTCTTTCTCTTTCTTTTTTTCCTTTCCTTCTTCTCTCCCTCCCTTCTTCACTCCTTCCCCTCCCTCCTCCCTCCTTCCCTTTCTTTCTTTCTTTCTTTCTTTCTTTCTTTCTTTCTTTCTTTCTCTCTTTCTCTTCCTTCCTTCCTTTCTTTCTCTTTTTTTCTTTTTCTCTTTCTTTTTTCTCTCTCTTTCTCTCTCTCGCTCTCTTTCTTTCCTTCTTCCCTCCCATTCCCTCTCTCTTTTCTTTCCCCTTCTCTCTCTTTTCCCCCACCCTCCCTCCCCCTCTCTCTTTCTTTCTTCCCTCCTTTCCTCCCTCCCTCCTTCCTGTTCTATCTTCTTTCCTTTCTTTCTTCAGAACAAGTCTTATAAAACTAGTCCAGGAACTTGCTGCTGGTGAGCCCTCCTCTGGAGCTCAGCAGGCCTCCCTTCCAGGTTACTGGCTGGGCCAAGGCTTCTGGCATGTCTCTTCCCTACTTCCTTTTCTCCCTCGTGGCTTCCCCAGGCTGGCACCTCCCTGGCCTTGCCTGGGACCCGGTTCCACCCTCCCACATTCAGTCCCTTCTGGCTCTTTTTCTCTTGTGAGTGTACTCTAGTACTCCCTGCTCTTAAAGAAGCAGCAACTAAATGAGCAAAGCACCAAGCACCACAACTCCACCTATCCTTTCTTCCTGTTTGGTAGTACCCCATTTCTCATCTGCCTTTCTCATTTAAATTTCCATAGAGTGTGTCAGGTACTACAGTTTGTGCTTCTTCTGCTTCTTTATCCCATAGGATCAGGGACTTCCATTTCCTCCTCCTTCCCCTCTTCTGACAGTGTCTCTTCATGAAGTCCAGGTTGGGCTCAACGTCTATACTCCTGTCTGCTTTATGTGTGCTGGGATTACAGGTGTGTACGCTCATGCCCAGTCTGTGTCCACTTGCTGACCTTCTATGTGCTCCCCAGCCATAGCTCTCTTCTGTCCCAGGATGCACACAGATTGCTCGCACTGACCCTTTGGACTGTTTCCTGATGGTCATGTGAAGTGGGCTTCGCTGGTCCCTTCCCTCTTCCCTTCACCTCTTTGCTGAGTTGACCCTTGTAACCCCTCTCCATTCCTGATTGGCCTTGTTCTTCGTCCCCCACAGCTTCCATTCCTCTGCTTGTCTTGGCCCATGTCCGTGGGTCCCTGCGTGCTTCTCTTTGAGTGTAGCATGTTGCCTGGGGACCAGGGCTTTCCCTGGAGGCCTATGGCTGGGCTGTCTCCTGGCAGAGATGGCGGGAGGGGCAGGGAGTGTATGATGAAGAGGCTGTTCCCACCTTTAGGAAGAAAGAACGGGGCACAGGTAGGAGTCCTCCCTCGAGTCTGCACCCAGCCTAGAATGTGCAGCACATCTTACTTCACTTGTGTTTTTTCTGAGTCCTGTGCAGAGCTTAGGCTCAGGGGTTTCCAACTTTCAGTGTTTAGATTGTGTCCAACCCTCTGTTTCCCCAGGCTGTCCTGCCAGGGTCCCCTTTGGGGGTCTACAAGAGCCACGGGTGGGACTACAATGTCAACCGTCTCCACTGCAGTGGAACAAGCCAGACGATAGGACGTTCCCGGGCCTCTGGCCACACCCCAGGCAGGGGTGATTGCTCTTTTGTGCCTGCGTGCAGACCACATCCTTTCCCAGTTCCTGCCCTTGGAGACCCTGTGTCCTTCTAGGCCCAGGAAAGAGGCTGCCCTCAGTGTGGGCATCTCCAAGGACCCTCGTCAGATAGTCTGCCCAGCTCCTGTGTGCCCAACTCTTGAGTAGAAGTACTTGGCCAGCCTGTGTGGCAGCTGAGTTTTCTTCTTCCTGCCTGTGTGACAGTGAGCGCTCAGGTAGGGACACACACTGTGAGAACTGGAGGCCGGCAGAGGGATTATTGAAGCCTCCCTGTGGAGAGGGGGCGGGTCCGGCCCCCCCCCCCCCCAGGAGTGGAGGGCTGGCGCAGAGGGGGCGGGTCCAGCCCCCGCAGGAGTGGAGGGCTGGCGCAGAGGGGGCGTGGTCTGTCCCGCAGGAGTGGAGGGCTGGCGCAGAGGGGGCGGGGTCAGAGGGGGCGGGGTCGGCCCCGCAGGAGTGGAGGGCTGGCGCAGAGGGGGCGGGGTCAGAGGGGGCGGGTCCGGCCCCCGCAGGAGTGGAGGGCGGGGTGAGGAGTCAGCCTGTGCTCTCCCCCTGCCTTCCTGCCGCAGGATGGCAGCTGTGCGCTCTTCTTTGCACAGCTCCCTCCAGAGCAAGGAGCCAGGTGGGTTCTGAGCTGTGATTGGCTCCTGTGGGCTGTGCGAGGGACGGGAGTGGCTGGATTTTTGACCTCAGGGCTGACACTCCAGGGGCCGGTCCTCGCTTTGTTTCCACTTGCAACCCGAGTCCCTCATGCCACCTGGCTTCATTCCTGTGGTGCGGTCACCATGGAAGCTCTGTAGCCATAGACCACAGTCACTCTTCTCCCTCCACCGAAGTCCCTGAGTGGGAAACTGAGGGGGACAGTGGAGGTGTCAGCCACTTGGGATGATGTGGAACATGGAGAAGTGCGGACCAAATCCTGATTACCAGAGTCAGCAGCGGGTTTCAGCTCTTGGGGCCAGGGCTGACTAGTCCCGCAGGGGAGTCACACCTCCGTGTCCTGAGCAGCACCACGCACCACAGACCTCAGTGACTCGAGCCTGGGGTTCAATAGCATGCTGAGAAATGTCCAGAGAGCCCAGAGCTCTGTCCACAGGGGCTGGAATTCCTGATTCTGATGGTCATAGTTGGGACATGGATCCTGACTGGTTATCCTGGGGTGGGGGTGTATGTGGGGGATATTACCTGTGCTGGTTCTGGGATTTGAACTCAGGGCCTCAACACTTTTGTTTAGCTTTTGTACTCTATCACTTGAGCCATGTGTCTGTCTGTAGCTTTTTGCTGGTTAATTGGAGGTAAGAGTCTCATAGATTTTTCTGCCTGGGCTGGCTTCAACCCCAAATCCTCAGATCTCAGCCTCCTGAGTATCTGGGATTATAGGCACAAGCCACCAGGGCCCATTTTAAATCCCCACCCCACCTTTTTAAATGTAGGATCTTACTCTTAGGTTGACCTAGAACTTACAATTCTCTGCCTCAGCCCTTTGACCACAGGCATGTGCCACTAGGGACTAACTCAATCAAAATTTCCTTATTCCTGTAGTCACTCGACAGGGAATCACCCGAGGAAAGCTCTCTTTGGACAAAGAGCCAAGACACTTGAGGTACTAAGCAGGGAGACAGCCAGGCCTGACCTGGGCCAGGCAGAGCTGGCCTAGGGTAGAGATGGGCCCATCAGCTCGCTGAGAAGCAACCTGTTGGGCCAGAGGGTTGCTAGGTGCTGTTCTGCCCTCTGGGGCTAGGGAGGAGCCTGTGGCAGGCTGGTTTCTAGGCAGAAGGCAGATTTCTCAGTTCCTGAGCTGGGATTTGTTGCTCCACAAAGAAGTTGGCACAGAGTCAGGTCCTGTTCCCAGATGATGTCTGGAGAGCACTTTCTCTCTGGAGTAGAAAGTGGGAGATAGGGTCTCAGGTGACCCTGATTACCTTGCTTACTGATGGCTAGCTCTGTGGTCCACCTCCTTGACCTGCCATCCTTATTTCAGCAAGGAAATCATAGCATCCCAGAGCCTGCAGAGAGATCTGGGTCACAGGAAAGGTGAAGTTAGGTCAAGGGCCAGAGCCAATGGCTGATCCTGAAGGTTTAAGTGAGCAGGAGAAAAGGCTTAGTTAGCTACAGGACAGTGAGGTGGCCCTGAGGGAATGCAGCATCTGTGCAGCTGGCAGAGGAAGATAGAAAACAGTGGAAAGTAGTGTCAATTTTACCTCCCCTGAGACCCTAAAGTTGCAGTGACAGGATGACAGAGTGATTGGTTATTTTAATTGTGCTCATCCTAGGGCTTGAACTCAGGGCCTGGGTGCTATCCCTGAGCTCTTTTGCTCAGAGCTAGTGCTCTTCTACTTTGAGCCACAGTGCCATTTCCGATTTTCTGGTGGTTAATTGGAGATAAGAGTCTTACAGACATTCCTGCAGAGGTAGGCTTTGAATCATGATCCTCAGATCTCAGCCTCCTGAGTAGCGAGGATTACAAGCGGGAGCCACCAGCACCTAGTGATGATTGACTTTTGATGACACTCTTCATAATGGAGTCTTCTCTGGGAGTCCAGTAGTCTTTGGGCATGGAAGTATCTGCAAGTCTGAAGGTCAGAAAAAGACACCTGGACCACTTGAATCCAGTGATGGATGTGCTCACTACAGGCAGGCTTTTGTTTGTGGTGGATGGTTGGGAAGTGATGTAAAGAGTTCACCTCAAACCCGGTGCTGGTGGCTCACAGTTGTAATCCTAGCTACTCAGGAGATTGAGATCTGAGGACCGTGGTTCGAAGACAACCCAGCAAGAAAGTCTGTAAGACTCTTATCTCCATTTCACCACCAAGCAGCAGAAACTGGAGGTGTGGTGCCAGTCTTGAGCATAAAAGTGAAGGGATGGCACTCAGGCCCTGAGTTCAAGTCCTAGTACTGGTAAAATAAAAAGGGTTAATGTCTTGTTCTATCACCACAGGTCCCTTAATGTCACAGGTCAGCACCCTGTGGACCCCTGCGGCCTTCACTCACAGCCTGGGAGTAGCTGTTACCTCTAGACCACCTCGCAGCCACCTTCTCCAGTGGGGTCATGGGCACTCGTGATGGTGTCCCTCCAGGTGAGGACATAGATGGTCATCTTCCTTGAATACTTGTCATGCTGTGCTCAAGAGAAGCAGCGGGGTGGTCTCCATGTGTTGATGCTGGTCCTCTGCTCACTGGCTTGGCTGGCTGGCAGATCCCTGGCCCACCACCTGAGTTTCACCTCCACCTGAGCTTCTCCTCTCCTCTTGGAGGAAGGTGGGCGGGCTGCTGGAGGAGCTGGTACTATAAACAGCAGTGATCAAGAGCCTTGATTTCCGCTGGAGATGAGGGGATCTGTCCTTGCTCAGATGTGCTGCTTATTGGGGGCAGCGCTGCTTAACGCCGGAGGGGCCCAGGTGATTTTTGGAAGGATGTTAGAGAACCGGAATGGCTGATCTTCGATTATTATGGTGAGGCCTGGCTGCTCTGTTTTGTTGATGTGGGAACTGAGGTCCAGAGAGGTTAGCTTCTTTCCTCAAGGTCTCACAGTGACAGAACTAAGATCATAGACTCCTGGGAGCTGATCTCAGGGCCCTCCAGCTAGAGGGGTGGGGGCTGTTCCCGCCTGTGTAGGGGCTTCGCTGGGTGGTAGATTAGGAGCCCATGGATGGTCCTAAGATAAACTTGGGAAGGGCGGAGCCATGAGGGTACAGCACTAACATTTGCCAAGTGCCTACTGAGTAGCAAGTAACTCAAGGTAGGGCAGAGGGTGAGAGGCTAGGGAAGAGTGCCAGGTGGAGGACTGCTTGGGGCTGGTAGAGACAGGAAAGCTTCCTTCCTTCCTTCCTTCCTTCCTTCCTTCCTTCCTTCCTTCCTTCTTGCCTTCCTTCCTTCCTTCCTTCCTTCTTGCCTTCCTTCCTTCTCTAATTTTCATTTGTTCTTATATTTTATCATATATATTTATCCATTCATTTATTTTTGGAGTTACTGGGGTTAGCCTCATGCTCTCTGGCAAATGTTCTACTTCTTGAGCCACACCCCCAGCCTTTTTTGCTTTGTTTTTCAGATAGGGTCTTAATTTTTGCTTGATCATGATTCTCCTCCCTCTGCCTCCTGACTAGCTGGGATTCTAGGTATGAACTACCACACTGGACCAGAAGAAGGCTTCCTAAAGGACCAAATTTATTAGTTGAGCTTCTTTCTCCTCTTTTCCGGGCTCCTGCTCTGGTCTCAGTTCCACAGTCTCGCTCTCTGGGAAGCCTTCCCAGTCCCCTGTCCCTGGCCAAGGCTCATACCCTAGGCTGTCACTGCTTGTTTCTCATTGCTATTTACCACTGGACTTCCAGTCTCCTTGAGAGTTGGGTCTGACTGGCTCCCAGTCTGTGGCAGGACTTGGAGGCCAGAGCCCCTCCCCAGAGCAGGGGCTAATGGAGTGTGAGGTAGTAAAGGATACCATCTGCTGATTCAGGAGACTTGGAGGGAAGACAGATGCTTGAGGACTTCCAAAAGGAGGGCTGGGTAGCCAGGAAAGCAGATAATCTGCACTTAGGGCTGTAGAGCTTTGCTGCTTAGGGGCTACTGCAGCGGGTGGCTGGGAGGAAGTGTCCCCTGAAAGCAGTGAGTGGGAGATATGCAACAGAGACTGTGCTGCATTCAACCACATCTGCACCGATGGATGAGGAAGGAGGGGAGCTCAGGAAGGAGACTGACACAATGTGGGGGTTGACACAAAGCCAGGAGGGAGGAATCAGACAGGCAGGCAGAGGGTGAGGAGGGAGAGGGTGCTGGCTGAGAGGCTAGAGTCAGCAGGGTTGGTTGGTAGAAGTCAGTGGACATGGCAGTACTTTGCCTGTTGGTAGACCAGGCTCTGGTATGGGGGCTGGGCCAGGCTCTCTGAGCCCTAGTCCTGACTTTAGGGAACTCTAAAGCATGGGTCCCCTGTGCTTCTGTCCCCAGCCAAGGTTCTGGCTCCAGTGGCCGTGTACTGCGGGAGTGTCCCCCGGACCAATGCTGGGCCCCGAGTTCCCCCCCCTGCAAACATCAACTCCAGCCTGCCGGCTTATGGTGAAGGTAAAATGGGAGGACCCAGCCTGGTGACTGAGCCACACCTAATAGCCAGGGAAGGCCCTGGGGCCTCTCTGAAGACGAGGAGGAGCTTCCTTGGCAGCTGACCACAGGGCAGAGCCGGAGCCCAGCCTGGAGGGGGAAATGAGGGTGTGTGGATGTGTGGGCATTCTCAAGCTACAGCAGGTGTTGCTTTCACAGTGGTCCCTGCTTAAAACTCAGTTATTCTGCTTTGTGCCTCAGGGGAGCTGTACAAAGGGACAGCCCAGACATAGGCTTCCAGCATTGCCTGGCTCTCCTGGGAACCTGGAGGGAGCCCCACATGCCCCGGCTAGGCCAGGCCTGTGCCTGGGGATCCAGGAGGGAACTGGCTATGGGGTGGGTACTAAGGGGGCATTGCCAGCACAGCAGTCCCTCAGTGGGACTCCTGTCTGGCTGCCAGTGGCAGGCGGCCCTTTGCCATTGCAAAGAAACAGGAGCCATAGCTGTAAATCCACTGACTACATGGCCTCAGAGTCATGTAGAGGCCGATTTCTTGAAATTAATTTTAAAAAATTTTTATTTTTTTTGTCAGTCATAAAGCTTGAACTTGGGGCCTGGGCATTGTCACCGAGCTCTTTTTGCTCAAGGCTAGTGCTCTACCACTTTGAGCCACAGCTCCACTTTTGGTTTTCTGGTGGTTAATTGGAGCTAAGAGTCTCATGGACTTTCCTGTCCAGGCTGGCTTTGAACCACGATCTTCAGATCTCAATCTCCTGAGATCTCAGCTAGGCTAGCCTCCAGTGCCCAGCTGTGTAGGTGCAAATTAAATGTGGTTGAATAGTCAGATGCCAGTGGCTCATGCCTGTCATCTCCTATCAGCTACTACTCAGGAAGCTGAGATTAGAAGACTGAGGTTTGAAGTTAGCCCAGGCAAGAAAGTCTGTGAGACTTTTGTGTCCAATTAACCAGCAAAAATCTATAAGTAGAGGTGTGGCTCAAGAGGTAGAGTACCATCCTTGAGTGAAAAAAATCTAAGCAACACTCCTAGGCCTTGAGTTCAAGTCCTATTACTGGCGCATGTGCGTGTGTGTTTGCACACACACATACACACACTCACATACATGCACAAAACATGGTTGGATGAGTAGTTGGCTGCAAGCATGGCTTACTTTAAGCTTACCTGACTTTTCCTCTCCATTTGTATTTGGTAAAATAGGTGCTCAATGGTATTGGACAAATTTGTTGTGTCTTGAGGCTTGGTGAAGGTGGTCTTGGGGCAGATGGCTTTCCTTCATGATGTAGGGCCTCTTATCTGTGCTTGGATAGGACTGCATACGAGCACTTTCAGGCCAGGTGCTTCATAGACAGTGTTGATGTCGTGATTGCTCCTAGGAAGGACAGAGGCACGGAATGACTGGGCTTCACTCCCACAATGGGTGCCATCTTGGGCTCAGTGTGCCAAGTCACTGTGTCTCCCTCAGGTCCCCTCCAGCCTCTGCCGAGTGTCCTGCTGAGCAGAGAGACTCCATCACAGCTCTTGAGTGGACATGGGGACCCTGGAAGCCTTAAACTAGATACCACTCCGAAAAGCTGGCAGGCCAGGAACGGCCATCCCAGGACCCCAAAGGCTCTGCCTTTGGGGCCTCACCCCCTGGTGCCCATCCTCTCACTGGAGTCGGAGGCTAACAGCATGGCCCAGGACACCATGCAGATCAAGGAGAAGCTCAAGAAGAGGAGGCTGTCAGAGGGCATGGCAGCATCTTCTCGAGGTGAGCCTAGGCCTTGGCCTTGCCCCCGCCTTCCCCCAGGGTCCGTGGTTCCAGACCAGCCAGGGTGTGAGGATCGGCTGGTAGCAGATGACTTAGAAGGAGCAGGGTGGGTGGGTGGGTGTTCATCAAGCTGCCAAGGGGGCTGCTGCTAAACGGTCAGTGTGGCACAGGGGGCTATGAGAATGAAACAGAAAGGCTACAGGTGTGGTGGTATAACTTTCAGGCTGTGTTAGAGGGTTTGAGAGAACTGCACCCCACATCATTAGCTGTAAAGAAAGGGGAAGCAGAAGGAATTGATTTGTCATGTGCTGAGTACAAGCTGACAGGCAGTATTTGTAATGGTGTCATATGGTGTTATTGATTTGTGTGTGTGTGTGTGTGTGTGTGTGTGTGTGTGTGTATTACTGGGGATTGAACCCAGGCCCTTGAACATGCCATGTGTAAAGTCCACCACTTGAGCCATGTTTCTAGCTCTTTGGCTTTTGAATTTTGTTTTTTGAGTTAGGGTCTCATTTCGATATTCTCTTGCCTCCTGAGTAACTGTGATTACAGTTAGGTGCCAATATGCCTGGCCCAGTCTTAGTGGATATCTTATTTTACAAAGGAGTGCAGGGGTCACACAGCGTCTCTCCAGAACCAGAGCCTGCAGTCTTCCCTCTGAACCTCATGCTGATTTTAACTCCTTCGTACTCACACTGCCTCTGAATTTCTTTTCATTTATCTTATCTTATTATTATGATTTTTATTCCAGTACGAGGGCTTGAACCAGGACACTCTCCTTTAGGTTTTTGCTCAAAGATGGAGCTCTCTCATTTGAGCCATACTTCTGCTTCTAGTTTTTGCTGGTTAATTGGAGATAAGAGTCTCTCAGATTTGTCTTCCTGGGCTGGCTTCAAACTGCTATATTCAGATCTATATTCAGACCCCTAAGTAGTTAGGATTACAGATGTGAGCCATTGGTGCCTGACTTAGATTGAAATGACTTTGATCGATAGTTCTAGCAAACTCTATAGGAATGGGAAAGGACTCTCAGTACTGCTTGCTCAGTGCCTTGCTCATTGTGGGGCTGAGGACCCGTTCTGCTCATTAGTGGGGCTTCCTTCAGGATATCCCTTCTCCTAGTTAGTGTGGGGCTCCTCCTCTACTCCCTGTTCTTTTTGAGCTAGCTTCTTAACCCCCCATAATACATAGCTTCTCTGGATCCCATTGGAGGCCCCAAAGGAGTTCCTCTGAGGAGCACCGTCCCCCGTACCACCTCTCAGAGGCTGCTGAGGGCACCCAGGCCGATGCCTCCCATCCAGAGCATCCCCACCACTCCTGAGGCCAGTGGAGCCAAGGAGAAGGAACTGGACCCACCCAGGAGCAGGCAGGGGCCCCAGGAGTTGAGAGCCGGAGCTCAGCAGGTAAGGCCCTTCTACTGCTCTGAGTCTCCATCTTCTGTCTTTCCATTCTTTACCAGTCCCTGTTCCCATGCCCTGGGCATGTCTGTGAGGGTCCAGACACTTCCCTGAAGGGTAGGGGTGGCATTAGGAGGGGCTCAGGGCTACCCTCTCTGGGCTCCCTTTTGTACATCTATACAAACAGAGCTTTGGATTAGATACGTCCAATTCTGAAATGAAAAGACCAAAACAACCCAGACAGAAAATATTCACAAAGCTTCCCAGTCTGACTGTGGAGGGAGCCAGACACTTCCTCAGGGATCCAGCTTTGGGCAGCTGCACAGGAAAACCAGAGCACACTTCTGGGCAGAGGGGGCATCCTCTGTGAGGTGCCGGGGCATGGAGCATCCAGCCTGGGATGCTCTCATGGACCAGAACCCTTCTGCTCCCAGGTGCAGATTTCCCAACAATATCTACACTGCAATGATGAGAAGATGCACAAGTCGCTGGGCGGCCTGGTGATCCCTCCCATCCCCAAGGCTGAGACGCAGACAGGGCCCTCCATGTCCAGTCCCTCGGCATCAGGCCAGGATGACCTCACAGGACTGAGGGCCCCCTACACACGGTAAGGGACCCCACACATCGTGAAGGCTACCTTGTAGTCTTTCTTTCTTCCAATCTTCTAAGATCCACTCAGGCTCTTTGTGGCTGAGTCTCCATGGTAAAGACATTGGGTGTGAGGAGTAGGGTCTCCTATCCATAAGCCTTGGAGTTAAGGAAACCACAGAATTGTTGCTGGGTCTTTTCTGATCCTGGGCTCCAGGAATCCGGGATGATGGTACAACCAACAATATCCCATGATTCTCTGCTACAGTTTCTTAGTGTATGGGCTGGCTGCAGTGAGGAATAAAATACAAGTTATTTTAGAATGCGATTCTGTTTGACAGAAGCACTTCATTATTGTGAATTTCTTCATTGATGAATACTAAGGACACAATCATGGTTGTACATCTGTGCCTGTGTAGATCTGTGTGTGTAGTCAGAACATTTTTTTATTCTCTTTTCATGTGTGTGTGTGTGTGTATGTGTACTGGTCCTAGGGCTCAGGGTCTGGGAGCTGTCCTTGAGCTTTTTTTTGTCCAAGGGTAGCATTCTAGCACTTGAACCACACCTCTACTTCTGGCTTTTTTTTGTTGTTGGTCATGGGGCTTGAACTCTGGACCTGGATGCTGTCCCTGTGCTCTTCAGCTCAAGGCAAGTGCTCTACCTTTTGAGCCACAGTGCCACTGTGAGACTCTGATCTCACAGACCTTTCTTCGTGAGCTGGCTTTGAACCATGATCCTCAGATCTCAGCCTCCTGAGTAGCTAGGATTACAGGCGTGAGCCACTGGCGCCCGGTGACTTCACCTTTCTTGTTCTGTCCCTGGCATCTCCTTGGAGGTCCATCTTTCTACTGGGTAGCTCCAGTTTCTCCTGGCGAAGGCATAGCAGTGTCAGAAGGAAGAGGAGGATTCATCATTATCATGGCAAACTGTCCCCCCTCCCCAGGATCTCCTTATTTCCATCAAGTTGTGGGTGTTCATCCTGGTCTTCAAATGCCAGCATCAATTTTGACTCATTCTGAATATGCCTGATTTCACATCCCCTTAGATCTTTTTTTTTTTTTTGGTCAGTTGTGGGACTTGAACTCTGGGCCTGGGCACTGTCCCTCAGCTCTTCAGCTCAAGGATAGTACTCTACTACTTGAGCCACAGTGGCACTTCTGCCTTCTTCTGTTTATGTGGTGCTGAGGAAGCGAACCCAACGAACCACCAGAAACTGGAAATGGTGCTATGTCTCAACGAGGTAGAGCACTAGCCTTGAGCAAGAGCTCAGGGACAGTGCCTAGGTGCTGAGTTCAAACCCCAGACCACCACCACCAACAACAAAAAGGAAGTTATAATGTCAATGATTATACTGAAACCCCCTTATACTATTAATGGATAATAATAAAAAAAAAGTAACAATGAAGACCAGTCTTATGAATGTCCCTGTCTTCTTTTCTTGTGTGTGATCAGGACTGAGCTTTTAGCCTCAAACAGTGAGGACTTACCAAGCTCTCCTAATTCCACTGGAGGTTGGAAGAAGGGAAAGAAGGGAAGAAGGAAAAGATAATTAGGGGTCTCTGAGCTCCCTGAGGGCAGGGAAGTTTACAGAACTTGAGCTCAGCGTTGTCTGAACTGTGGAACAATTCACCTTCCTCTGCTGCACAGGCCTGGAGTTCACAGCAGGGGCAGAGTTTTCTTCCACAGTTCCCATGTGGAGGCTGCTGCCTGGAGAAGAGATGGCCGCCCAGCCAGGAAAGTCAGGCTGACCTCCCAGCCTCACCTGGCCCTGCAGCTGCCCAGCCACGCCTGCGTTTGTGGAAGGAGCTGCCTTTCCTGCTTTGACCTGGATACCAGCCTCTTCCCTTGTGTTTCCCATCACAAGGGTGCCCCCTCCTGGAGCTACCCTGGGCTCTTTATCCCAGCATCTCTGCCTTACTGAGTTCTTTTCTCCTCATTCTTTTCAGATTGGTTCAGGAGAGTGGGCCTCAGGAGAAGACCCCTAAATCTCTGGGTATGTATTCTCCCTATGTCGCCTTGTTTTGTATCTGCGGCCTAAGCAGTGGGTCTGGGTCAAGGGTGGGAATAGAAGCAGTGATTACTGGTGGTGTCTGCCACACTAGGCAGGTTGATACCAGGTTCTATAGCTCAAAATGGCCCACGTAAGGGTGATGGCGCTCTCCTGATTTGTGAGCTTCAGATTTGCACGTGGGCCTCATGGCTCTAGAGTGGAGCCTCTTGACACACTGAGCAATGGCCCCTTGCTTTGGTTTAATAAAGTAGACTTGCTCTTACTGGACAGAGTGAGGCATTAAAGTACATCCCACAAACCCCTTAGGGTTCCACAGGGAGGAAGGAGGTGGGAGGAGGGATGACCGGCTCCTGCAGAGAGGCTGATCGCAGGAATGGCTATGGGACAGGGGAAGCAGGCCGGGCGAGGGGCCGCTCTGAATCCAGGCTGTGGGTAGAGGGAGTTGGCAGCAGCTGCTGTGTTGAAGGTCGGGAGGATGACCAGCTTCCTGGCAGGTCCCTGCTAATCAGCTCAGCAAGGTATACAGCAGGTGGCGGGGTGGGGTTGCTTCCCAAAGAGGCCCGGAGGCAAGCCTGGCAGGGCCCCTGAATGTGGGGCTTCTCCCCTGCTCCCTCGCAGGTCTGTGTGTGCAGAGTGATCTTGGGCAGCCTCCAGCGATGCGTGTGGTGCCTCACATTTCTTTCATGTGCTCCCCCTGAGATTGTTGGCTTGGATATTTGCACACAGAAGCCCTGTCCCTGTGGGTGGGGCAAACTCTTTGGATGAGGCTTTCCAGGGGTCCCTTACAGCTTTAAGGGAGGGAGAGGATATGGAAAAGTCCTTAGAGGATTCTCTGTCACCTGGACACACCAGGATGTCAGCTGGATACGGCTCAGTACCTCTAACTCATCTAACACATAGCCGTGGGGCTGTGGGGCCATGGGGCTGTGGGGTTCCTATAGCTGAAACGGCCCCAAATCTCAGGGCATTCCTGCAGACCGTGCCCTGGCCAGGGAGCCTCTGACCACCTGCACCCTCTGCCCTGCCTTTGTGTGTGTGTGTGTGTGTGTGTGTGTGTGTTTATGAGTCCTGGGGCTTGAACTCAGGCTCTAAGTATTGACCCTGAACTTTTATTTTGCTCCAGGCTAACACTCTACCACTTGACTCATAACTCTATTTCTGGCTTTTTTGTGGTTAATTCCTGCGCAGGCTGGCTTTGAACCATGATTCCTGAGTAGCTAAGATAACAGGCATGAGCCATCTGTGTTCCACTTACCTTTTGCCCCTTGGCCCTGATTCTTCTCTCTGCCTCCCCCACCAAACAGAGGAAGCCTTTGCAGAAGGTCTGGGCTAGCAGAAGCCTGGGTACCCAGGGAACTGGGCAAGAAACCAGGCTCCAGATGCCCCTTGTAGCCTCAGGCATCGCCAGATGGTGGCCTCCATCCTCCTGATTAGCAGGCTCTCCCAAGGTCATTATACTCTGAACTTTATGAGAAGGTTAAGGAACCTAGCCTGGCCTTGTCCCTAGAATAACAAGTATACCTTTATATCCATTGATTGGGAAATCAATAGTAAAAGATACTATGGAGTTAATGTTTAGAAGTGAAGTTGTATTTTATCAGTCACAAAAACACCTGAAGGTCACTGTGCCTCAGCTTTCCCATGTGTGGAATAAGAGAACTAGACTAGGGCTAGTAGCTTTTCTTTCTTTCTTTCTTCTTTTTTTCATCAGTCATAGGACTTGAACTCTGGGCCAGGATGCTGTCCCTCAGCTCTTCAGCTCAAGGCTAATGCTCTACTACTTGAGCCACAGCGCCACTTCTGGTTTTCTGGTGAATTGGAGCTAAGAGTCTCAAGGGACTTTCCTGCCCGGTCTGGCTTTGAACAGAGATCCTCAGCTCTCAGCCTCCTGATTAGCTAGCATTACAGGCGTGAGCTACCAGTGCCCAGCTAGGGTTAGTAACTTTTCTGGTCCCTTCCAGCTTGGCTGGGGTGGTAGAAAATGGCTGGAAGGACAGTTGGAGTTTTCATCTTCCTGCCTAGCCCCTTCCTCCTTTTAGAATAAGCTATGCAATGCTTGCTTGCTGAATGAGTGAATGAATGAATGACTAGGTGGATGGATGAAGGGACTGTGCTGTGATCCTTAGCAACCTTGCCAGTGCTGCTCTGTGGAGCGCTTGGCCAGTCAAGTCCTACCAGCCACAGGTCAGCTCAGGGGCAGCCCTGGGTGCTGGGCTGTCCTCAGCCCCGTCTTTTCTCTTGACTCCTCAGACTCCAAACCTCTGGCCCCACCTGTGAGGGACAAGTCTTCGGTAGCCCCTGAGAAGCCCCTGGCTTCATCACAGTCTACTCCTATGCTGACAGCATTCTCCTTTGGCCATGCCAAAGAAGCCCACCCCTTGTGGAAAGAAGAGGACCAGAAGGAGATCAGCTCCAAGGTATCTGGGAAGAGAAAGACAAGGAGGAGGAACAGGAGGAGGAGGAGGGAGAAGAGGAGGGAAAATAAATGAACAAAGCATGTTCCCAAATGTGAGGGGCCAGCTGGTGGGGAACTGGGGCAGAGCCAGGAAGAGCTTAAGCAGCTGCCCTGAGCATTCAGGCTGGAGAGGAAGGGAAGCAGGGATAGGATTGGAGTGGAGTGGGGACTGGGTGCAGAGAAGAGTCCAGAAGATTGCTGAGGAGTGGTGTTGGGAGGTGGAAGGACAGAAGAAAGTCGCGCGTGGGTGAGAGGGAAGCAGGATGCTGGGGAGAGGCCAGAGGGCTTAGGTGAACCATGCTGTGTAATCTGAACTGACCCCCAAGATAGCAACGGAGAGGCAGCTGACTCTGAGGCCAATGGCCAAAACTGTGCTTGACAGGCTGATAAATACCTTGCACTTCTAAGATGACCTTGGGGAGGTGGCTTCTCTTCCCCACGTAGGATGCATTTAGTAAAACTTGGTGAGTCACTGTCCCAGGTGCATGCTATGTTAGAAAAGGAGATTCCGGGTTAAGGTAAGGACCAGCATTACTCTAGAGCAGGCAGTGAGGGATGAATAATTATAAGAGTCCCATGCACCAAAATGGGCTTTGTGCTCCAGCCCACCCCAACACCCACTCCATTATCATCCTACAGACATTGATATTACAGATCACTCCCTAAGCCCACACGATCCCAATTCTAAGATTCTGTTCGGTCACCGCCATCTCCTATTTCTCTGGCTCCGTGCACCCACTGCTCTGACTTCATCATGTTTGCTGTCTTGCAGCGAACTGGATCATCCCTCCATTTGCTTTCTGTTACCTTTTTCATCTTGGCATGACAAACCCTTCCCATTTGTTCCTAAGAGTGTAGTCTGGCATTAGTTCCTACTACCCCACTGAGATCACCAATGACTTCATGTCCCAAATGTTGTCCTCTCCCACTTTGTCCCAGGAGCTGCTTTTGACACATCTGGCACATGCCCCTCTTGAATTCTCCATGCAGGGATGGAGCCCAAGGGCAGCTCTTTCTTGGTGCTCTTCCTCCATGAACGGCAGCTTCTTCCTTCCTGTCAGGGCTCCTCCTCCTCCTCCTTCCCTTCAGATACCAAGTTCACCAGGGGCTGGTCCTCTGGCTTATTTAATCAGCCCCTAGGATGTCCTCCGGTCAGTGCTGTCAGTACAGTCTCTAGGCTGAGGACTACCAACCTTCTCCTGACCTCCAGACTCACCTCTTTCCTGCTAGTCATCATCTTCACTTAGACATCTAATTCTATTTCAAAGCTACCATGACCAAGACTCAATTCCTGGATCCTTACCTCACCTAACCTTTTTCTCCAGGGTCCCCACATAGTGAATGGTACCCCAAAGGCAGCCTTGGCATTCTAGCCGATCAGGTCCCAAATCCTGAGCTTGTCCTTGGCATCCTACATCTTCTGTCTCAGCAAGAAACCAACTCTACTTTGGAAATATGCCCCCACCCCACCTGTCCCAGCATCCTGGACCAACTTCCCTCCCTTGCTCTTGCTCCTGTATCCTGTGGTCTCCTAAGAGTTCTCTCTGCTCCTACCTGTTCTAGACTCTTCCATGAAGCAGCCAGAATAATCCTTAAATAATGTTCTATGTCCCTCACCTCTGGAAGCTGGGTGAAGAGCATATATTGATCCTATTCTTACAACTTCTTATGAGCCTCAAACTATCTCAAAATAGGTTACTTAAAAAAAATCAACCGACCTTTGGAGAAGCCAGGATCCCCAAACTGAAGTCAAATTGTGTCGCTCCTCAGGCTCAAAACCAGGCATGGCCTCCAGTGTCCTTTTATAGAGACCTAGTGTGGTGTGGAGTTTGCCACCTCCTGACCTTATGTCCTATCCTGCTTTGACTCAGAGTGCTGAAATCTAGCTCTACACTTAAGATTCACCCTAAAAACAGTCTCTCTAGGCGACCTCCCTCTTCTCCTCCTTCTCTTCATCTTCCTCTCCTGTTTTTCCTCTTTCTCCTCCTCCCTCTGCCTTTTTATCTCACCTTCTTTTTCTCTCTCCTTTTTCTTTTCCTCCTCTACCTCCTCCTCTTTTTCTTCTACCTCCTCCTACTCTTTCTCCTTCTTCTTCTGTTTCCCCTGTTTTCTTCTTGTGTGGTACTAGGCAGTGAACCCATCTAGGGCCTTATGCATAGTAGCCAAATGTCCCACCATTTAGGACATACCTCAGCTCTTTTGTATTTGTTTTTAATTTTCATTTTGTTAGAATCTCATTAACTTTTTCCAGGCTGTCCTTGGACTTGAGATATTCCCACCTCTGCTCCTCTGAGTAGCTGGGATTACAAGTGTGTACAAGACAACCAGTTCTCTGGGTCTTCCTATGTAAAGCAAAAACCCTGTGACAATTTTTTTTCTAGCACATGGTTCTGTCATTAGAGATTTGTGTGTTTACTGTTTGTGCCCCAGTTCAGAAAGCTCGGGAGTACAGGACTTACTCGCTTTTTTTGTTCTTCCAGAGTGTGCTTGGCATCTAGGAGGCACTCACACATTTGACTACTAAGGCTAATGGAGTCTGCCTTTTCCTGTGCCAGGTCCAAGTCACCATCTCCAAGTCAGCCCAGGAGAAGATGCGGCTGAAGCAGCTGAAGGAGATAGAATCATTCCGGAGGGCAAAGGGGCCAGAGAGGGAGAGAGAACTGGCTTCCCAGGGCCTGGGTCCACGGAGACCCTTGGTGAAGGAAGGTACCATGGTGTGTGTGTGTGTGTGTGTGTGTGTGTGTGTGTGTGTGTGTGGTAGAGGACTCCTGCTGACTAGGGAAACATTTGTCTGGCTCCTGGGCTTCCCATAGCTTCTCCACTCCCCACCTGAGAGTGGACAGGGAGTCAGGTCCACTGTCTTGGTGGTCGGTCCATTTCCAAAGGAGGACATTGGGGACCAGCTCAGTTCTAGGACTTTCTCTGCCTTCGCAGGCCTCCTCCCCCTCCGGGGAAGTGGGACCCAGTCTGTGCCTACTGGAATGAGCAGCCCACACAGAAACAACATTGGCGTCATCCTGAGGAAGCGAGCCAACCGGTCCTCCCTGCCCAGCATCCCTGTCAGCAAGCAGGAGCCCCGCTTTGCCCGTCATGCTTCAGGTGGGTGCAGCCTTGAGATGCTCTAGGGGAAATAGCAAAGTGGACCCTGGCTGTTCGACCTTGTCAGTTGCCCATGTCAGACTAGGGGACAACCTGCAAGGTGTGTGTGTGTGTGTGTGTGTGTGTGTGACCTTGCCAGGGTAAGAAGCAGTCTGGGACTCATTAATTGTCAATGGGTAAGGTTGTCACATGTAGAATTGTGGATGTCTGGGGAGGTCTGCCCAGCTGGTACATCAGGGCTTAGAAAAGTCATCAGTGTACCAGAAAGATGCTGACAGAGAGCATGCAAGGAAAAAGCTGTGAATATCAAGAAGAGGAAGACAGTTCTGGGAAGAACCTTGGCTTTCTATCTGTGTCTTTGTACAGTTGGGGCTGGAAAGAGTTGGCTAAGGACTAGGAGCAGGAGAGCCACAGGAAAGGTGAAAGGACCTGGAGAGACTCTATTCTATCCTACCAGATGGCTTCCTATGGGCCTCATTTTTTTTTGTTTTTTTTTTTGGGGTCCGGTCGTGGGGCCTGAACTCTGGGCCTGGGCGCTGTCCCTCAGCTCTTGAGCTCAAGGCTAGCACTCTACCACTTGAGCCACAGCGCCACTTCCGGCATTTTTCTCTTTGCTTATGTGGTGCTGAGGAATCGAACCCAGGGCCTCAGGCATGCAAGGCTAGCACTCTACCACTGAGCCACCTTCCCAGCCCTGGCCTCATTTTTTGTATACGGGGCAAGCACTTGAACTTTCATTTGAAAAGATTTTTGTTACCAAATTTATTTGGAAATAATCAATCTGATTCAGAGTTTTGGTGTGAGGTGTGGTAGGCGATGATGGTGGCTGAAAGCATAAAGTGGATGTTGTAAATAGTGATGAATCTCCTTTTTCAGTCCTTCCTATCTCTTTGATTGTCTCAAGTAGAATGTCTTAATTCAAGACAAGTTGATAGCACTTCCTCCCCGCCCCTCCCCCCCAGTTTTTAAAAATGGGGAGATCCTTCTTCAGGCTAATGACGTCAAAAGCTGTTTGTATTTTTTGGGGGGTGGGTCAATCATGGAGCTTGAACTTGGCCTGGGCACTGTCACTGAGTTCTTTTGCTCAAGGCTAGCCCTCTACCACTTTGAACCACAGCTCCACTTCCAGTTCTCTGGTGGTTATTTAGAGATAAGAATTTCATAGGGATTTTTTTTTCCACCCTGGGCTGGCTTCAAACCATGAGTCTCAAATCTCAGCCTCCTCAGCAGCTAGGATTATAGGTGTGAGCTACTGGTGCCCAGCTTGTCTGTAATTTTATAGCTATCGTTCTCCTTTGGTGATAAATATTTTACTCCATGACAAATAATACTAATGTATTGGTTACTTTTTTTTCTCATTTCTGTGACCTGACTTAATGGAGGGAAGATTTGTTTGGCTCATTGCTTTACCTCCTTAAGTTTTTGTTGCCTCTCAAAATAGTCCCAACCATCCGCGGACTAGGAATTCAACACAGAAGCCTGGGGGGCACATTTTATATTTGAACTGTAACAATAACTTATATCTTATACCTATTATGCTAGAGATAGAAAATTGCCCTTAAATTCATTTGAAAAGTAAATAAGTAAGTAAACATACAGATAATCAAGAGATATGGCAAAAGGATCATGAAAGTGGTACTGGGAAATATTGATTTATCTAACCCAACCACTCCTTAGAGACAGTGGCACGGAGCAAGATTCAGAGATCCAATCAGCCCAGCGTCATTTGAGGTGATAGTGGACTCAAGACTAAGACCTTGGCTAATAGATTTTGATCTAATATGGTCTAATATTTCACACGATTTCAACTATGTATTTGTAAGTGGATAGGTAGAAGTATGATTTTAAATAGGTCAGGCTGTTGAATTAAGGAAAAGCTAACTTTGCTTTTGCAACTTCCCTGGAAGCTGAATTTGGATTCTTCTCATCTTCCTCTTCCTCTCTCCTGACAACCAAAGCTTAAGTTGCTTTATAATTTGTACCGGCAGTTACTTTTGGCCTGGCTAGACATGATGGAATTTCAAAATAAAGTTGGTGGTCCCTCTGAATTTTCTAACACATACTATGAGATTCTAGACTCTTCCCCCTTTTTTTGAATCCAGGGACATTTGGGTGAGATTGACTGTATCTACTTAGTTCCTTCAGTTTTGTGGTACAAAGAATGGGGGTTCCTGGAGCCAAAGTCATTTGTGTGGACACGGTTTGAAAAGCTGCCAGGGTCAAGGGTAGGCAAAGGCAAATACAACCCTGTGGGACCAGCGGCTGGAGTGGCCCTGCAGTTGCCTTTTGTGTATTTATTTTAAAATCTGAGTGGATGCTAAACACCACTGGAGGATGATATAGAAGCAGAGCAGGTGTCAGGAAGCTAGATTGGCCCTTTTGTTCCCCTGGATGGACCAGTGCCTCTGGAGAGCCTCGTGGACCATGTGGATTTCATATTGTCTGTGAAGGCCAAGAGATTGGGTGATACCTGCCTACCAGGTGACCTGAGGACTGATCAAGAGGCCATTTATATACCAACGGTAGTGCTGAGAATTCTGGAAGGGGGTCTTAGTGTCTTGATTTTAAATACAGGGCTACCTCTCTACTCAGATGTACTGGGGTTGTCCGGGTGTACTCCCAGGCTCTCTGAAATTCCCCCAGTTCTTCTAGGGCCTTATGGTGGTTCTGGCATCTCTCCATAAGGGAGGCGAGACTAGAAAAACATACCCTGGTTGTAGACCACTTCTTTGCCTGCTGTCAGTTCCTGTATGTGTGGCCACATCTTGATGGTTACTAATACTGTTTCAAGTGCTTTTTTTGCTGGTCCTGGCTTTGCTCCAGCCATCTGAAGCAGAGCACTTTCCTGCTCAGATAACCTCACCTGAGCATGGATGGTGGAAAGGAAGGAGCAGACACTCTTACCTGGGTGGGAACAAACTGTCATTCATGGAGGACTTACTGGGCTTCACCCTGACCACAGGCAGGGCAGGACCAGAGGCAAGTCCCAGGTTTAGTAGGCTTGATCAGGTGACATCAAATTAGCATGTTTATAATATTACAAGGTTGGCAATGGCGGGAGCAGAGAAAGTCAACAAAAGGCAGAATAAGGCTGAGACTTGGCTTCCCGGACTTCCGGGTCCCTTCTCCTGCACAGTGGGCTATGCTGTGGTCAGGCCTGGCACGGGGAGGGTGAGAAGGAGCCCTCGATGGGCATACTTGCCTGTCTTCTTTGTGAAGCTTGTTTCTTTACCCGTGCATGCAGCTAACTCCTTACCTGCGGTGCTCACCTTGGGGTCTCCCGAATGGGACGAGGAGGAAGAGGAGATGGACCTGAGAGCTTTTAGGGAGTTGAGGCCCTTCTCGAACCCAGAGCTGGGGTTGATGGATGCTCTGCAGTGCCTCAACAGCAGTGACTGGTGAGGAAACATCTCCCTTGTGCACCCTGGGGCCTGGGGGAGGGGGACTGAGGGGGGAGGGGAGACGGGGTGGGGGAGAGGGGACCAGAGGGAGGAGGTTCATTCCTGGGCTCTGGTGCAATGGAAGGAGGTGTGTGTGTGTGTGTGTGTGTGTGTGTGTGTGTACATGTGCACACATACGTGCATGTATATCTATATATATACACACAAATACATATATACACACATATATAGATACATACACACATATAATATCTATATCTGTCTATTTATCTATCCATCTATCCATCCATCCATCTATCTATCTATCTATCTATCTATCTATCTATCTATCTATCTATCTATCTATCTATCTATCTATCTATCTA